TAAGTATATATCATTCGTGAGGGATGGCCTAAACCTTGGCAAGAATGGTTACACGGTCAACGTGAGCGCCATCATCTCGGCCATCGACCCGAACAAATGCGACACACCCCTGCTGGATTGGTGCCTTCGGAAAGGGCACTGGTTGCCAGAGGACTACAACAAGAAGTGTGTCCGGGCACGAGAAGCCCAGAAGAACTTGGACGAGGAGTTCCGCCGACGTACCCATAGGCTGTCCATTGGGGACAGGTATGCTTCGTGAAGATGATGATTGCGGTACGATGTGGGCTAGTCCCCATCTGTTACTTGCGTCACATCGACACTGTTTCGGTGGAACGACTTATGTCATGATTTATATTCATGTGTCCAAGATGATTGGATGTGTACATGGTTACATATTCCGATGACTATGACGCTCTGGATATTCATGGATGGAACTATTACCTTATAGATGATATCTTTTCATTATTTATGCATTGTCCATGGTATCTGGAATGGCTATGATTTGCATTGATTACTCACCGATGTTTCTTTGCCGGAGATATGCAGACCGATCACAAGCGGGCGCGCATGGTGGACATTTGTGGCCAACCCATTTATGGATGACAGCTGCGCGATGCGCAAATGCGGCAGCTGGAATGTTCACTGGCGGTCATGTGAAGTGGCCACAGTGTATTATATATACACCTGCATATGGATGTGTGCTTCGATTGGAGGATGAATGTTTCACTTTTCGCACAATCGAACCCGGCATGTTTCACAGCGAATGAACGGTGTAGTGATAGCAAGTAAAAGAATGCACGACACGATTTCGTAGTTGAAGCCGTGGCCAGTGGAACGTTTTGTGGTGTTTGGACCGCATGATGAACAATGCGACCCAAATGGGGGATGTTAAAACCCTCTAGGCCCCGTGCCGAAATTGGGTAGCTGTTCTGAGGTCCTTGTTGGTGTTGCTTCCCAAGTTCCATTGATCGCCATTTGGCTCAAGACACAATTGAGGTTCAAGATCTGATGTGTGACTGCGAATAGACGTGACGGGCATCAAGAGTGAAAACAACAGCCTGCGCTGCATTTGTCAGGACTGCTGGTGTATCTATTATTCCTTCTTCCTTACAACGTTTACACGGGTTCGGCTATAACGGCATCGTCCGTATACACCTTTCCACGTGGTTGGTATTGAAGCTTGAGGGTTCGGTGCACAGCGTCCCACGGGACGTCACCTTGCCGTCTCTTGACAGCTTGCGCAAGGTGACTACACCACCGAACTCCAAGGGCACGCTCACTAGCTGGCCCAGAAAGACGAGCAGGCTCACAATCATGGAGAACACCCAAGGCAAGACCATGGTCACCAAGAAGATGAACACTCTGGAGCGAGAAGACGTTTGCATGGCCTACTTCTACCAGTACAACGGCAACAAGACAGAGGAGTTAACAGATACCACAAGGCGGCCACCACCTTGCCTCATGCACTACCAGCCCACGCACCTCAATCTCTGCAACAGCCTCACGCACCACAACCAATGGCACCACCAGAGAAGAGAAGCGACCAGGACCAGAGACACGCACGGTCTCTTTCGGCCCCGAGCAGAAGAAGTTGAGGACCGAGTACTTCGACCACGGCGATCATATGCAGGAAGCATTCCTCACTATGCATCGTCGCCGGAACCTGATCCAGATAGCTGCAGACGAGGACACCTCAAATGACACTACCACGGAGGAGACGTTTTGACAGCTACTGAAGAAGACAGAAATGATAGCAAAGGAGTTGAAAGGTCCACCAGCCATCTCTTCTCCATGCACAGCGCGAATGCAGACAAGTACTACGCCGACATCCGCGTCGGAGGCGTCTACAAGATGGATGAGAGTACTGACGCCATCCACGAAGACGACGTCTACACTATATGGCCTCAAGTCGACGAGGCGGACAAGAATGAGATCTCCCAGTTCGTGAAGGAGAAGGCCTTCAGAAAGATCAAGCTGAAGGACTTGGGTGAAGACGCGGTGCTCGTCGATAGCATATGGGTACGCAAGTGGAAGCGCACAGAGCAACGCAAGATTGTGAAGTCACGACTGTGCGCCCGGGGATGCCACGATCCCTTCAAGCCCGCGATGTCGAACAGAAGCACTATACGGCCACCACAGCCAACGCCTTTTGGTGATCACGCGACCAACAAGAGGGAGCCCCTGGAGTCATGGGACGTAATGGGACGTAGCCGGTGCCTTCCTGGACTGACATACGACAAGCTGTACCAGCGACTTCGGGAACTTGGTATCAAGACAGTCGAGAGAGTTGTGGCAATTTTTGTGCCAGCCAACGTCTGGAAACATTTGAGAGAGCTCGACAAGGACCTCTATGTGGAACCGGGCACCGAGATGGAGTAGCCTGATTTGCCTCAAGCCCATCTATGGACTCTCAGAAGCTCCATTGGCCTGGCAACTCTACTTGCACCAGTACCTGAGCGAGCTCGGCGCGGTCCAGAGCGCCTTCGACTGGATATGGCCGCAGCCAACAAGAGATGACTCTTGCATTCAGTGCTGGACCGAAGTGGTTGGGCAGGGTGTACAACCTCATGGTCAAGAAGTTCGGCAAGTTGACACGCCAGACATTGCCATTCACTCATTGTGGATGTGTCTACTCCAAGTACTCCGACGGCTACCGTATCGACCAAAGCAAGTACGTCAAGCTCCTCAAGGGCCCTGTCATTGAGAAGGACCAGGAAGACGAGAAGCCACAGTCCAAGCCAAATATCTCAACTGAGATCTGTGGTTGGTGGACTGATGTGGGCCTGTGTGACAAGGCCCGGCCTGATGGCAGAGCTGGCAGTTTTGCGAAGTGTGGTAACCAAAGCGAACGGAGTTCACCTTCGACAAGCCAAGGCACTGGTGAAAAGAGCGCAGGACGATGTTGAAGCTTGTCTGATCGTTCGACCTCTACCACGACGGCATCTTCGCATTTTCTGCATTCATGATGCCTCGGCGGCAAGCTCAACAAAGAACTACGCGCAAGAAGGTGTGGTGATTCTGCTGGTGGCTGACAACGTCAACATTCCGAAGGAGCACTACGTTGTGGACAACGGATTCGCCAAGAACCAGCTCTCCGGAAGAGCTCAAGTGGTCTACGCAAGCAGCAACAAGGCCAAGAGGGTCAGTTACTCGACGAGCCACGGAGAGACCTTGATGGCCATCAACGGGTTGGAAACACCCACGCTGCTCTCAGCACTTTGCAGAGATTACCGTGGGTGGCACCAAGCCCACCATGCATGACCTACTTGCAGTTCAGGAACATGGAGCACGTCACTTCCCGGTGGAGCCGCAGGGCGTCTACGGTGGATGGTTCTGCTGCCGACGGAGCGCATGACCGCAGACGCACTCACCAAGGTGATGCAGTGTCCACGACTCATGGAGTTGCTCACGACTGGGCACGTTCAGTTCCCCAACACTGGCCACCAAATTGAGATGAAGCGATTGCCACCGCAGATGGATGTGCAGGGGGAAGACCTCCTGGAGGGCGACAACGCCATTATCAAGAACCAATGCCACCACGAAAGAGCTCTATGTCACGAATGGATGGTTGTGGACAGCGGCTATGGCAAGCACGCTGGGAACCTCGGACCGACATGTGCAAGCGATTTTGTTTGCGACGATGCTGACAGCCGCATCGGCTGGACGGACCGAAAATGACGAGAAAGAGAAGATCCTGGACAACCTCATGATCATCGCAGTGCTGTGTGTGATAGCCGGCACTGTTCTTCTGGAGTGGACAAGACAGTTGGTTTTTCAGAAGGTGAGGAGAATGTGAAGAGGCAAGGTCTCCACGCACACGTAGACGGATGTGAACGCTACCAAGAACCTCTTCAATGAGCGAGGCACCAATCAGTCGCTTGAACAGATCTTTGTGTCAAAGACAGGCACGAAGTATCACAGGCGAGGTTGCAAACATGTAGGCGTAGGACATGATAGCATCCGCATGTACCAAGCATGCAAAGACTGTTGCGCACCTGGCTGAGAATTCGCGTACGGGCAAGAGGCCCAAGACAAGAAGCGGAGTGAAGTTGTATGCATGTACTTGACCGACCGCAGTCGCGGTTTGAGCCCGAGAAAACAGAGTTTCGTAAAGTCTCCAAGTCATGGCTTGCCAAGATGCTGGCCCCGAAGCTCCTCCATGAACGTAGTGACCCCTATGTGCCTCCAGCTGGACTACCCTGGCCTGGTCGATCGTGTGTCTGGATCAAACCCAACTTGCTTGCGAAAGATCGAGACAACGACAAAAAGACAGCGTGATGCAACGGCATTCAGGCAGACCATTTTTTCTCTGGCCTGGTGCCTGCGTTCAGACAATTGCGCGCAATAATGTGCTATTTTGCCCTTCCCTGCCAACGCTCAAAATTTATCCGTGTCAGTGCTGGCAACCAGATACTTCAAAACCTGGTGCCCTCAATTCTGCGGAAGCTCGCGATGCTCATGCCACACGCACAGGCGATAGTGTTTGGTGGATGGCTACATTTTGAGTGCCCAGGCTCTTTGTGAAACTGGCGCTTGAATGGCAGTCATCGGAGGGGGGCTATTGATGGGCGGGACTGAAGAATGTGCTGGGCTCGAGCAAGACGGGTATGTCAAAGACTGCAGATCTGGTATGCATACACAAAGTAAGGCAGGATTCGGGTGGAGTGGGCCAAGCCTCCGTTGCAAATTTCGTTTTGCACAGCCGGAGAGCTTTGCAACATGCCACCTCTCAGTGCTGCCTAAGCCACCTCAGCAATCCAGATCTGGGGCCAACTGTCTCCTCCTTCCCTTAAACTTGAGTCGGCACGTGTTCCCTGGCACCATGCACGAAGTGATACACAGCTTGAGTTCTCTCGTGTCGAGACTTTCTCTTTTGGTCTCTCTGTTGGATGAGACTTCTCACGTCGAAATCAGCTCAAATCGAAAGTGTCACACAAAAACCGAAAAGCTCCCGAGCGAGTGCAGCGAGTGCAGCTTCCGAGCTTCCAAAGCGCGTCCAGGTCTTCGGGGAGGTGGGCGCCTTCGGGCTCTCGAGGCGGCGCACCGCCAGCGCCCGCACCTGGGACGAGGGCTACGTATGCTGCCTGCGCTTCCGCGGCGAGGCAAGCAAGCAGAAAGCAAATGAAAGTAAGAAAGAAAGCAAAAGGCGAAGAACCGTGCTTGAAGAAAAGGCGATGCAAGCAACAAGCCGCGTTTGGCCGGGAAAGCAGGTTAGTCCAGAAAAAATGTGTTTTTTTGGACGTGGCCAAGCAAGACGGTGGAGAATGGGAGGCAACCCTTGCACAGGTGGTCCGTGCTGCTGTGGACACGACTGGCTGGCGTGTTTGACCGCGATGCAGTTTCACGGCGTTCACTTGTGTCGACCAAGTCTGTTGGGCAGGTTTCCGCTCGACAGAGATGCGCTGGGACAGATCTGGAAGAGGCAAGGAGGGACATGGAGGGAAGACGAGTCTGCAGCACGTCATTCAAACGTTGTAGTTTGTCCGTGTCTTTGTCTAAACACGTTTTTTTTTTGAATTATGATGTCTGTTTTCAGGACCGAGGTGAAGAATAAGGGCACCGAGTTGGATCGCAGGGAGTGGATCAAGGCCAGTGTCGCCCGGCAGCACGACGGCGTAGCTCGGCAACTCGGGAGCGCCAGACCACGGCCATCCCAGCGCTGGCGCAGACGCCTCTGCTGGGAGGCTGCTGCAGCCTCAGATCGGCCGAGCACGTCAGATGTGATCAGTTTATGTCTCACATGCTGTCATGCTCCAACTTCACGCGCATGTTTTCGCAAGGCCCGGCTTCCTTCTTCCATAGCCTCTCGGTTCTCCTCCAGGAGCTGGCGTGCCCTGTGTGGCTTGTTCCGTGTCACTTTGCATCACATTGTGTGCCTTTGTCGTGAAAATTCGGGGGAGAGGAACAGCACTTCAAGGCGAACACCGACATTGTGAAATGCGGCCAGCCTCCAAGACACGGCGATGAGAAGGTGACCCGACACCCCCTCAGTCTCAGGTGAGAAGCTGGAAGCCATGCTGATCATGGTGCAGGCGAGAGAGCACGGAGAGAGAAGGAGAGACTGAGCCGAGCAAGTGAGCCAGCGAGCGAATTCCAGCGCCGAAGCCGAACTGCTCGTTGCCTCGAATAGTCTCCCGAACCATTCCACAGCTTGGATGCGCAGGGCAGCGCACATATGCGGACGCGTGTGGGAGACGACATTGGCACCATGAAGAAGGGCTCCATGTTTGGTGAGGTCGGGGCCGTGCCAAAATGTCGATCAGATGTCACAATGCGACAAGCTCGGCAGATTGAGGTCAATGCTTTGGGCTTGTTCAAGTACAGCATGGCCTCAGCCCTTGCCTCAGTTTGCTCAGTCCGAGAGACTCGAGAGACTTGCTTGGAGCGCTTGGAGCGAGCCTCCGAGCCTCAGGTCCACACCACGGAGAAGTGCCGCGTGATCGTCCTGTCGCACCAGGCCATGCGCCAGGCGAGCACCGAGCGCCAGCGAGCGGAGCGAGCGGAGCGAGTCGCGTGCATGTCCGAGGCGCTTGCCACGCCCGCTGCCAAGCATGAGGCAGCTGAAACAAGAAGAAATAGGACGGAGTCTCTGAGAGCGAGAGAACAGACGGACAGGGCATCACCCTGGCCTTTGAGCATTTGGTAGAGCGGCGCCTGGAGCAGGCGACCTTGGCTTGCACCTCGCTTGCTTACTTGCTTACTTGCTTACTTGCTTACTTGCTTACTTGCTTACTTGCTTACTTGCTTACTTGGCAGGTGGAACGTGGGGTGCCACTGTGCAGCATGGGCATTTCAGCTCAGAAGGAGGACGTGCGGGTTCGTGCCATCGCCGGAGCTTCAGAGCCTTCATGCCGAGCCTTGCCTGTCATAGGGCGCTAGGCTTCCAATTCGCATCCGAGGCACTGCTGGCTGAGCGCGCGGACCTGGAGTCTGGGGCTTGACGTTGATGCCACGGGGGCCATTGGCTCGCCACGAGGACCGGGGACGCTTGGACGCCTATCTCGGACACGGAGCCGTCTGGGCCGTTCTTCGGCGTCCTAGTGTCCGGCCGCGTCATGGTGGAGATCGGCCCGGCGCGGCCCCGAGTTCTCCACAGTTAGGGGGCCCGCAGCGGCAGGGGCCGCACGGGCCGGGCCCAGGAGCATCACATCGTGCTGCAGCTCACATCCGGCGCCATCTTTCCCGAGGCGCGAAGTGCGCGCACGGATCGCAGATGCGCACGGATGCGCAGGGATGCGCAGATGCGCGAGAGAGAGATAAAGCCTTCGATCAGTCAGGGCCTCTTGGCCTCCTACGGCGCAGTCTGCCGCGCGGAGACGGCCTGCGAGGTGCGTCCAAGCGCGCGTGCAGCGCGTGCAGCGCGTGCAGCGCGTGCAACAGTTCCGCGAGGCGTACAGGGTTCGATGGCACGACTTCTGCATGGCGGCCGGAGCCCTGGCCATGTTTTGCGGTGCACAGATCGCAAAATCGGGAGGTCGGATTGAGCACCCCTGCCGCCAGTGACTGGCTTGGATCTTGGACTTGGTCCTGCTTCATGCGATATGCTTCAGTTAGATTCCCAGGTTCTGGAAGTTCCGGGTGCAGGAGAAGGCTTCGAAATGTTTGATTTCTCGGCGCTGAAGCATCATGAATCATCAACGACCAGGCAACTGTGGAAAGATTGACGCGCAGGCTTGTGTTTTCCGAACTCTCTGATTGTTCTACCAAGTGTTGCTCAGGCTGCAATCAGTGCAGGGTCTCTTAGACGTGACCTTGCCACATGCTAGACACGACGAAATCCAGGCTGGCACCTGAAAAAAAGAGAGAGAGAGAGAGTCCACTGTCACGGCTGTGTGCGAGAGGCATGGAAAGCAAGTCGGACGGCCAAGAACACGGAGGCGCGCATGGATCAGAGTTTGAGAATCACTCCGAGCTGAAGAGCAGAAGAACGGTTGTTGTTTTTCTTTTTCTTTTTTTCGCACTTTGCTTTTGTTCGGGTTCTTCACTCCAGTTCAGTTCACTCCAGGCACGGCTCCCCATCTTGCCCCAGGATCCCCAGGCCAACATCTCAGGAGCCAACGGGGGCGGGCGGGCGGGCGGATGCTCAGGTGAAGTCCACGTTGCAGAGGACGGGCTGACGGGCGAAGCATCGCATGCCTCACATGCCTCACATGCCTCACATGAGCAGGACAGAATGGCAAGAACTCCGTCAAAAGAAGCCAGGCAAAGAGGGCAAAGAGCGCAAAGGACTTTGATACGGCATTGCCTTGGGCCGTAGGCTTGCTGGCCTACACCAGTGGCCTGGTAGAGCTGCCAAAGCTCATTGACGAAGGCCGAAGCAGATCTGAGAGAACTGACATGAATTGACCTTTCACGGCAAACCTCACCGCTTCTTGTGCGTTTTGACCTCCTGAGGTTTGACCCACTCTGCGTCAGAACCGATCTTGCACAAGTGACGGATGTACGAGAAGAATCAGGGTTGCAAACAATTCGGCAAGACATTGCAGGGATCCTGAAGTTAGCATCGGCAAGCATCATAAGCCGGATCATGTTCGATAGTTTGTGTTTGAGTTCTGCAATGGCTGCCTCGAAATTCTGGCGAGACGCAGACTGCAAAGCAGTTGTTCTTGTCGGGCAGATCAGTCGCTAGGGTCTGGATTTGTTTGCATTTGAAGCTCCAGATTGCATCACTCAGAATTGAACGATGCAACTAATTCAGAGGGTATCTCTGCAAGTGCTAGATAGCTGTGTCACCTCACATGTGTGCATTCTCACGAACCTGCTTTCTGGATGTATCTCTCAGAGACCCATTCTTTCATGGCAGAAAGAGGTCTGTGCAATGCGGCGTCAGGCTATCTACCCAGATGTTGGTCATCGAGAATTGTGAAGCCATTGTGGCAGGTTTAGATCAACCTTTGCGCGTTCTCATATACACACATGATTATCAGTCCCAAACAAGACTTAAAGACACACTTTTCGGGGACATTCATGAGCTTACAAATCGGAAACTTTGCCATGAAAGTTGCGCCAAGTTCTGTTGCTGTGCAGAGCTTACTGTCACGTGGCAACTGGATGTGCCAAAAGAAAAGCATTTACCATAGTTCCCGCGACATGCACACGGAAAGCAAGACTCTAAGTATTTTGCCGGCGTGAGAGAGGATACTTCCAAAAGCACAAATCCGAAAGTTTGATTTCAGCAAAAGGGCGATGAAGGGCGTACACATCTGATTTCCTCAAATAGTGGCTCTTGCAAAAAACTGTTTGTGCCAGTCGGTTTCCTGAATGGGCCCCTACTTTTGGGACCTGGCACAAAGTTTCCTGGTGGAGTCGGGACCTTTCAGGATTGCTGTCGTCAAACACTAGAGAGAGATCCTGAATCAACCAGGGCAAACCAGCTGTATACCATATACCCATGGATTTCTGAGCAATTTCATGGCTCACAACAATGGCCCATGTAAAGTTCTTAGAAAGTGGATCAAACACACCTAGATAGCTGTGTTTTGGCACTTCGCCTGTTTCCATATTGGTTGAAGCTAGGCGGTGCCGTGCGGCTTGTCTTTTGTTTCGTTGGCCGAAGCCGATCCGGCCCGCCCCTTCGCCCCTTTGCGCGCGATGCGGTCGCGGCGGTTGCGCGGCTTTCTGTGGCCCAAGGGGCACCCATGGGTACCCCAAGTCCGGCGGGAACGTAGCTTCGCGCCTTGGCGCGTCGGCCGCCTTCGATGCGGCCGTGGCAGGCCGTTGCTTTTGTCTCTATGTTTCTATCTCTTTCCTATTTTTCCTTCGTGTTTACTCAATGTTTGCTATATTTTAACGAAACGTTTCGTTTCGTAGGTTCCTTCGCATGCCCTGCACTGGCCACTTGTCAACAGGTTTGCGTGTGGCTCCTCCCCGCAGCCTTGGGCATCTCCCTGCGTGGCAACAGGCGCGCATTGCACGGTGCACGCTCACATGTTCATGTTGCAATGCGCATGCCCGTGCCGTGCCGCCATGCCGCCGTGCCCACGTGCCAAAGTCCCGTGCAGTTCACAACAAGATGCCAGAGATCCCAGGGACCTGCTGGCCTGTTTGACTGTCTCAAGCTCGAACGTCTTGTGATGCATATGACAGGTCTACTTCCTCTTCTTAGCTACGGACAAGGCATTGGTGCCACCTGAGCTCACTTCGGCCCGAAAGCTGGCCAGTTTTGAACGGCTGGATGCGTAGGGAGAGTAGATCTCCCCGCGTTGCAGATCTCCAACCTGGATGTTTGGACTGCCTTCTTTGACTCAGCGGATTCAGACAAGTGCCCTTAGAGGGAGCTCCAAGCTCCAAGATGTGAAGTCGGTCTTATTGTCCAGGTACCGAGCCTTCGTTCATTGCAAGGAGAAGTCGTGCGTGCAGCAGATGCTGGCACCCCGGATTCACTTCTCCAGATCTGCGAGATGCGAGGGGGACCACCTGAAACTGAAAGACTCAGCTTCCTCACGCCTAACGCCCAGGGCAGGATCGCCGATCATACCTGTGCCAACGGCCGCGACCTGTCGCGTTGGGGTTGATGGCAGAAGTGCGACGGCTCGGCAGGTGGCGAGCTACTACTGCACGGACCTGGTCTCCCCAATGAACCAGGCATATGACTGCCACGGGGGGGGGGGGGGGGAAATGGAGAAAAGGGGCTAGCCAGGGGGTGGCCTGTTGATGGTTGCCTGTTCTGGTTTTTATGTTAATCTCAAATCTGTGTCCCCCCTTATTCGTTTTTAAAAGGGGTGTTTTGGGGAGTCTATTTATCGTTTTCGTTAAGGTAATCATTTGGGTAAATTCTCGCCTTGTTCATTGTTGGGCTGGGGGCCGACATTTTTTTCATTTGAATTAGTTGACCCTTTTAGTAGTTTTAATGTTCTGAGGAGTTGATGGGTCGTTTATTTTCTTTGACGTTTATCTCTACAATTATTTAATTTTGTTCTACACTCTTGACAATATTTATATCTTCTTCCACTTTTTACATTTCCAAATTCATCAATTGTTTTATCATAAAGGCATCTGTTGCATTTGAAGAATTCACCAAAGTTTCTGTTGCTTTTTCTTCCATCATTCCCTAATTATTCATTGTAGTTTGCTTCACAACCATTCTTAATATATCTTAACAACTTCTTTTTATATGATTTTTATGTGATTGTCTAGCTATGTTTTATAGGTTAAAAGTTCAGTATAATTATAACATATAAGATTTTACATGTTATTATTGTATTATGATTATAATTTCAGTTCAGGATAATATTCAATTGATTTGTCTTACTTCTTTCATACATCATTTTAAAAATAATATTAATATATCTCACTGTATTTTGAACATTAAACTTTTTACTTTCAATAAATAATTTGATATGTTCTTTAACATCTTCTCCTTTCTCTTGACTATAACCCAACATCCATAATATATCATCATTCATTTCATATTTTTCTTACTGATTTTAAGAAACTGTTTAACATAATCGTAAGGTGGTATGTTATTTACAGTTAGAAATATTAAAATCTCATCTTCTACATTTCTATTATGTATTATTTTTATTCCCAACAGACATTTGATTAAACATTGATTATCTCTCCATTTTTTTGCAATTTTTACATATGTCTTCTTCACCATCCATTGAATAGTTAATAATATTATTCATTATTTCATTAGGTAAATTCCATTTATACAATTCCATATTTTCTTTTTTGAAGTGACAACAATCATAGCATTTTTTTATTGATATAATTATTGATTCCATCACCGTTCATTTTCCTCTTAATATATAAGGTAATATTTCTTTAAGTAGTTTTGGCTAGGGGGTTGCTGGTAGGTGTGTCTCAATGTGAGTTTCTGAACCTCGCAATAAGCATTGCAGAAACCTGCAATACGCATTGCAGAAACCCGAAATACGCATTGCAGAAACCCGCAATACGCATTGCGGAAAACCGCAAAACCCACCTAAATTGGGCTTTTCAGGTATTCGCAATGTGTATTTCAACGCTGTTCCTTTTGAAGTAAAACACGCATTGCCTAGAGATGCAATTCACAAGGACACGTCAGTCATCTCAAGAAACTCACATTAGCAGTCGGAGGGGATGCCCAAATTACTTGAAAGTGGTTTCTGTCAAACTGTTTGTAGTCCCATTCAAGTATATCACAATTAATATCAGCATTTTTCAACTCCAATGATATAACATTATTTAAGGGCTGCCGCCCAGTGCCGCCGACCCCTCCACTGGGGGCCAGCCCAGTTTTTTTTTGTTCTGGCAGCGGCTTTTGGCTGGTTCAGGCTTGCTTGCTTGCTTGCGAAGAAGCAGGGAGAAGCGCAGGAGGATCTGACGCAAGCAGCGTTGAGCCAAGCTAACGCGATATGGGCAAGTGCACTGCCCGCAGCAGAGCAGGACGCCAACCCATACGAGCGCTGCAGCGCGAAAGCTCTACTGCAAGCCGCGCGGCGAAAGCAGCCGAAGCGCTGCTTTGCCTACACGTCCTCCAGGAGTGCTGCAGCATGAAGGAGCCAATAAAGCCGAGGCAGTCAAAGCGTGGCTGAAAGATGCAGCGACACGACGTGGCGTGGACGGCAGGGCGTTCCTGAACCCAGAGCTGCTCAGCTTCGCGCAGAAGGTGGCGGAGCGCGTCGTAGCGGAAGAAGATTGCGGAGAAGGAGAACAGTTGCGCCAAGTGGACAAAACAGATCCGCTGCGCTGGGCACTGCATGGAGGCCCAGGCACCGGCAAGTCGCACACACACTACGAGTAGTTCGAGAAGAGTTGTTCGACCAGGTCCTGGGGTGGCAGCAAGGGGTGCAGTATCAAGTGGTAGCTTTCCAGGCCGTGATGGCCGACCAACTAGCGGGGGAAACGATTCACCATGCAGTTGGCTTGAATAAGCACGGCGAGGAGACGGGCGTAAGCTTGCAGCGTATGGCAGAACTGCTGGCGGGGGCGACGCGGTGGCGCTGGCTGCTGGTCGACGAGATCAGCATGGTGAGCGCAGAGCTCCTCGCGCGCTTAGAGCTTCGTTGTCGAGAGCTGGTGCGGGATGCCTGCAAAGAAAAGTACGGCCCCAATAGCACTGCTGCGCGACCGTTCGGTGGCCTGAACGTAAAACAAAGCGGGGGAAATGTGGCAGCTAGAGCCTCCGCGTGGTACATTCCTGGGAGCCATTCCAGCGGAGATGCTGCGCAGACGTGGGCAGAAAACCAAGCTGCCGCACGCCGCGTACGGGCAGAGGCTTGTGTAGGGGGGACCGACGGAAGGCGTTCAGGGAGTTACAGAATTGGTGCGCTGCGAGCGCACGCAAGATGCGTGGCTAAAGGAAGTCCAGGATCAGTTTCGTCACGGTCGCCTCACTGCGGTCACACATGCGTTCTTGCATGGCAAAGCGACGGCAGTGCCAGGCAGTTGGCACGCGAGCTGTGGACGTCGGACGTGTGAAGCTCTAGCAACAGACCAGGTGGCGCCGGAGCGCATCCTGGAAGAGGAGTGCAAGGTGTGCAAATCAGAGAGGCGCTCCAAAGCGCTCGGAGCAGCCACGCCGCAGGATCCGCGATTACAGAACGAACTGAAAGACGCCACGTGCATTTTTGCGACGAACGCTGTCAAGTATCATGTTAACCGGACGCGCGCGCGAGAGTTTGCGGCCAAAGCTCGGCAGCAGATATATTATTCAATTGCTGAAGATCTAGCGTCGGCAGCAGTGCTCGCAGAGAAGCCACACTTGGAGGAAGACAAAGTGAAGTGGCTGCAGCGTCATGACCGCGAAAGCGGCAACTTGTACGGGACGCTGCCGCTATGCATTGGCATGCCGGTATCAGCGACTGACCACTTGGACCGCGAACGACGCGTGCTTCGCGGCTGCGCGGGGACTGTGCGTGGCTGGACGCACACGGGCGACAAAAGCGAGGTGACGCGTGCGGACGGGCATGTGCGTTATTGGGCGGAATGCCAGCGGCCGTGTACGTGAAGTTCCGCACGAGCAAGACATGGCGCGTCGATGGCATACAAGAAGACTGCGTCCTGCCCGTTGCGCCAGTTCGAAGTGCGTGGTTCCTCGATGGGAAACGCAAGAAACCACAGCTTCGCGTGTCTCGCCGACAGCTGAAGAAGGGAGACAACCCGTTGACATCGTACGTGGCCATGACGCGGGTTGAAGGGAGACAGAAGCTGGGGATATTTCGCCCGTTTGACTTGGAGCCGTTTCAACGCGGAGACGATTTCGGCCGTAACCTGCTTTTGCGAGTTTGGAGGGGGGAGGTCATCGATTGGGAAGCCATTCGAACAAAGTACCTCATCGAGAAAGAGTGCGTCGAATGCCTGCAGCGGAAGGGTCGTTGCGCGTACACTGCGGGGCGATGGAAACGAGAGGACGCCAGCGGAGCGTGTAAAGAATGCACCGGGCGGCACGAAAGCGCAGGCCACCCGTGGCAATGCTGCGTTTGCTACTACTGGCAGCCTCGGGCAGGGTTCCTCGAGAAGTGGCATAGAACACGAAGCGAGCTGCAACGAGTCTGCTGCAATTGCATCGAAACCCATGCGTGCGCGCGTTGCGGAGAGTCGAAAACAGAGAGCGATTTCAGCAAGGCGGCGTGGCAAACACGGCGCAAGGCGCGCCAAGTGTGCAAGGACTGCAGCGCAAACGAACGAGGCCATTGGACATGCGTGCAGTGCAAGGAGAGATGCGCAGTTGCCGCGTTCTCGCGGTACAAGAGGGCGCGGAACGGGAAGCAACAGTGCAATGCCTGCCTCCGAGCACGTGACACAAAAGCGATCGCCAAGAAGAGCGCCGCGCGATTAGCGCGCAGACGCGCAGCCCAGAAGCGCCGGGCGCTGGCCGAGATCCGCGCTTGCATCGCAGACATTATTCGCGCGCGGGAAAGGCGCAGCGCAGCGGTGCAGGCGTCGGAGCCACGCGACCGAGGAAAGGAGGCCGAAAAGAAGGCAGAGCGCTCGCAGCGAACGTACACTTGCCCGCACTGCAGCTCCGATGTGGAGTCAGGCGTCTGGAGCGGCGCGGTTGACTCGCGACGGCATTGCGGGCGCCGCTTCCAAGTTCGCGAGGGACAGGTTGTGCGCCGAGAAGATGGCGCGAGGTACGAGCATGCGTGTCCGACCTGCGGAGCGACAGTGCAGTCGAGCACGAGGCAAGGCCGGATCCGGGTCCAGAACGAAGAGCCAAACAGCAAACGCTTTTGCCAGACCAAGGACTGGCGCACGAAATGACGTGTGCGGAAATCTGGCAGCGCAGCGCAAAAATCTTGCGCATCGGTCCTGCATGCCTGCTCGCAAGAACAGCTTCGCGTACAGCGCGCTAAGAGGCCGCGCTCGTTTTGCCACAGCGAGCACCAGGCAAAGGAGTGCGCCGGCAGCAGAAAGGAAACGGAAAGAAAGATGGGAAGGGATCGTACATGCAGTAAAGCTATGTGTCCAGAGAGAGCGGCCAGCTACAAAAGCTTCGCTTCCCGCGCTGTTCCAGGCCGCGCTCGTTTGTCCACAGCGAGCACCAACCAAAGGAGTGTGCCGGCAGCAGAAAGGAAGAAAAGAGGCCGAACGGGCGGGCCCGCGCTCGTTTGCCCACAGCGAGCACCAACCAAAGGAGTGCGCCGGCTGCAGAAAGG